AAGCGTAAAACAGATGTTAGCTGTTCCATTGCCATTCTAAGTTTAATGAACATAATGCCCGAATTACTCCATTCAATTCAAGTATGGAATTTTTCTTAATAGGGCTCCAACAACATTATTTGCAAATCGGTTATGGGCAGCCGGCCTCACGCGTCAAGGTGCGTTCAGGCTACGCTATACTATTGCGCTATATAGTCGCGTATAGCAAGCCCATACAATAAAATGTAGTGTAGCGTGATGTGAACGTGTTTTATGTAAATGCATGCGGTGCACGATATGGTGCTATCTACACTTATACACACATCAAAAAAGTCTAAGCAATTATTTAAAGAAACTGTATGTTTTATTCATTCATGTTTAATTTGTTTACTTAGCAAAGTATATTGGTATTGGTATACAAGCTTTTTTGTTGTCGAAATTATCATTGGCTGATTTTAAAAACAGAAACTTTTCGATTGTGTTTATATTAAGTAGATAAAATAATATATTACAATAGTAAAAACATTTCAAAAGTTCAAAACCGTCCAACATGTTGCTTATTAGACTTTTTTGATGAGTATATTATAAATGCGAAAGTTTATCTGATGTTTTACCTCTTTTCGCTTAAACTGCTGAACCGGCTGAGATGAAATTTGGTATAGATAAGTTTGAGTCCCGGGAAAGACATATCGTAGTTTTTATTCCAGAAGTCATCCTTCAACCGGGTGAAAAGGGGGGGTGGTGAAATTTTGTATGGGAAACCAAATGTTTTCATGCAAACGAAGTCGCTGGCACCCTAGTGAGCTATAAAGCTATCAATAGTATAGCGTAGTCTGAACGCACCTTCGGTCGTGACGTGCACCGCGCCGCCCGTATAGTTGTATACAGGGGTCTTGGTTTTGTTGACGCCTAACGTGGATGCCTGCCAAGGCCTTTTGTGTTAGTGAACTTGAATTTCATACCAATGATACCTTCGCACCAATAGAAACGTTGTGTTGAAGTTGTGTTTTAAAATACTACGTAACCAATCGAAAATATAAAGGACACTTATTTGAATCGATATAGTAAAAAGCGAAACAAATGTTAACTAAGTATATCTTTTATTTATAGATACGTGTAGGTATCTGCATATGTCAGGTTACCAGTAAAAAACATAAATAAAAAACAGGGCTTGCAATATTATTGATGCTGTGAGCTAAAGGAAATAAACACCATAAATATGAGAATAGCTAGAAGAATAGCTAGAAGGAATTTCGACGCGGTCCGTGAGGGCCGCGGTAGCATAATTGGTCAGTGCATTCGCCCGGATTGCGAAGGGTGCGGGTTCGAGTCCCGTCTGCTGCCTGGTCCGCGTGGAATTTTTTCTAGTTATATTTTCTTTAGATTTAAACATCAAGCAGTTACATGCTTAAAAAAAAAAAAAAAAAAAAAAAAAAAAAAAAAAAATTATAACCATAAATATGCACAACTAGTAGATAGGTAGGTAGGTAGTTGTTTAAAACTCAATTAGGGTACAGTTGAAGTTGTATGTATGATATATTTGATAAATGACATAATATTAACAATACATATCGACATAAAAAATATAATAATCTCTTCAATAACAGTTAAATCAACAACATCTAAAATATTCATGTTTTTGGGAATATAGACAAATTTATACCTACTTCCAAACAAAAACCAGGAAAAAGGGACATTAATGACATTTAAAATTGGAAAGCTCGTTAACAGAGTTATTGTCATTGTCACCCAAAAGTCCGGAAGCTATCTGCTTCCCGTGGGTTGTATCAAATAAAGCTAGCGGAGCGTGTACGGCAATTAAATAATTAGTTACTGTAATCACAATAATGTATCGTTTCCATGTAGGTACTAGCGTGCGCATACAAAATAACAGCAGTAAATTAGTTGAGCGTCTGCTGCTGCAATGAAAAACTCAACAATAAAAATTATAAGTCAGCAATACAACTGATCATGGCTCATATAACTTATTTGTTGAGCTTATCCTCAACAAGTATAAAACCTTATTTATTCATTTACCTCCTTTTACGGACTTTCGTCACCGCATCCGTGTCGCGTTGCTCTATGTCTATGGCATAACCAATTAATAACTGCGTTTTGACTGCGTTGCCCGTTTAACTAAATGTAAAAGCTTCTAAACTCAGTGAAAAAAATATATATAAGTCATTCACTTTGATATATTCAAAGGTAAGTGGCCCGCCCTCGCATCGTTTCGGTGTAGAACTGTAGTGTAGACTATAGTATTTGTTCTCAGGCTTGTACTTTACAGAATGACTTTCGTCATATAATAATAATCATCAATATTTATTTCAGGCGTAGTACCCATATAGCATACAGAAATAGAAAAAAAAATCAATTTTACAGATGATTCATTACATTGAATAATCACAATAACAGTAATAAAATACTTATATAAATTAATAAATAATTACAATTTATATAAATTATTCAATTAAATCAATCAAATACTATAATCCAATAGTATTAAATCAAAAGCATATAAAATTTATTATCAATCTGTATACACGGACCCGAATCTGTATAAAATTGATTACTGGCAAACAATGATGACAAATATCACAAATATCATATTTACAGCATTCATACAGCGCTAATTATTAACTAATTTCAAAAATTTTATTCAACAAAACATCAGGTACCTGGCGTTACTATTGCATATTTCTTCGTATTGTAAAGTTGGAGAGTTAGTCTGATTGTTTGTTTTTCGTGGTTGAACGCGCTTATATCAGTATCAGATAAATACTGGTCCGATTTGAAAAAATATTTTTAAGTTTGACTGGTGCATTTATCAAGAAAGGTTTTAGGCTATACATATAACATCACACTACAATCAGTAGGAGCGAAGCATCGAAGAAAAATGTTGCAAAAACCGGAAAAATATTCCATTTTTGAGTGCGCTGGACAAACGGTTAAAGTTGCACAAAAAACATGTATGACGATTTATAAGTTCTATAATAAAGTCTGTGACAGAATATGTCCATTTTTGGTAACCTTTTTCTTTAAATTAACGTGAATGAAACCGCAGGGGACTTCTAGTTGTGGTATAAATGTATGTAGGCATATGGTATTAACAGACTTTTTTTGTAGATATTGATGTCCTCTATAAAACTTTAGTACATCATTTTGCTCTATTATCAATGATTTTCGCGGCGTACGCGATTTATGGTTATTTTTTGTTTTATTTTCACACGTTGGGTTACATAAGCCGAGTTTTCATACGGAACCCAAACTTTTTTTAAATACGTTATAGCCTATGTTCACCAAGGATAGTGTAGAATTCAAAATGTGTAAGAATTTTTCAAATCAGTGTAGTAGTTTTGGAGCCTATTTATTAAAACAAACAAATAATCAAATCTTTCCTCTTTATAATATTAGTATAGATTACCTTCTTGAAAAGGTATTTCTTTATTAAAGATAATAAAATATTTTAAAGTTACATTTAATAACAAATGGTATTGTTTGGAAATGGAATAACATATGCAATTTCCCTAAAAAGATAGCGGCGGACTTTATGCAAAAAAAATTAATGGCATGATAAAATTAGAGTGCTTATAAGAACATTCTAGTTGATATCTTTATTGTTTAACGTTAGCATACTTAATGATTGTTCGGTTAAATAATGTACTATATTACAGCTTTTGAACGAAATCGTTATCTGATCCACCAAACCAACAGTGCGTACTTACACTATTCCCACATCCCAGCGAGTTTCTATTGTTCTAATAAATATGACCCGTCTACATTCTAATATTGAATCATTTATCTGTTACATTTGATAGAATTTACTACTTTTCGAATTCATCCATTAATTACAGAAGGTTCCGGAATAACCAAAATGATAACATTAAAAAGTTCGAAACTAAATGAATAAAATATCTTAAAGCGCCATTTACACAATGCATGTTTCTTGCCTGTTGCATACAATTAAATTGAAGTAATGAATGACTTGCATGGTCTAAACAGTACATAAAATTCTTGATGTGGTACACAAGTTTTGCTTCAAAACTTAGTGTAAACAACACATATAATAATTTCTTAAGCAATTCCTGTATTCATCTCTTGTATTCAATTCTTGTATTATTTGGAAACATGAGTGCAGTAAGTGATAGTGTGTTAATCGTTGCTGCTCTTCTGAGTCAACAAATATTAAGAAAATGTAGTAAAAAGAATCGTCGTAAATAAGAAAGACTTATAAACATTATCAATGCCCATGGTATATTTTTTCTATCCCCATTATCCGCGTCCTTAATTTTTTTATTGGAACAAAGTGCCTTTTTGGTCCACACTGGGCTCATTCCGCACTGGGCCTAACGCTTGCTATATAAATATATTTTATCACGTCTATTCGAAGAGCTAATTTATTCTCTATTTGCGGGGACCAACATAGCGTTTTAATCTCTAGGGACCAAAATAGCTTTTTGATTCCCAGGGACCAAGATAGCGTTTAAATCCCAAAAAAGTAAGAAAACACACAAACACGCGAAATATATTTCGCGTTCGTTCATCGGTTTATTAGGTACTCAAACAGAATTATAAAAAAATATGTCTTCTTCGTGTAGTGAGAATGAAATTATGCTAAAAAATGTGTTACAGTGTTTTATGTACAAAATCCTACTCTATAGATTCAAAAAACGCTCACGCCTTTTAAATTATTATATTCTCCTTTAGTAAATAATCTCCTTTTAAATTCGCTCCAACCGTGTGTTCCACGATACTCGCGCATTTTTTTACCGAATTTGAAAACTTTCAACACTTGAATGAAATATTCGCCCACTCAAATACGTGCAATTCTTGAAGCAACTGTGAAATATATGGTATACGCACATACAAGTCTGTGTTTAGACATGTCAATACTTGAACTGTAAAATTTTCACGTGTGTGTGTGAAAATTTTACAGAATAGCACTGCAGTGTATAAGTTCGATAAAAAGACATGTAAGTACTTAGTTACAAGGTAATTTATCTTTATTCTATTGTCAACAGAAACATGGGTGAACTTGGATCAAAATTGGGTCTGAGCGAGCTATCTGGTGGTGCTGCGGGTATCAGCAAAGCCCTACTCGCTGAATTTATTGGTAAGTACATATATATGAAAACATCAAGTGAAAAAGAGATTAATAATATAAAGATCCCCACAATATTAAAAGTACTACAGAGGTAAGAAGCGAAGATATGAAGTCAAAGTAATCTATTGCATACTACTCCGTGTTGGTAACATGAAATTACTCACAATTTTGTGCAGGTAAAGCTAAAAATCCTTAGAGCCGGTAAACGTCAAAAATAGGCTAGATATGCTCGTAAATAATCCTTATTCTACCATAATAGCGTTCATAAAATAACCATTAGCACTCTGGATACAATTGTTCCGATTGGAGTGGGCGGCTTTATTTTCTTATCAGTCCTTGAACTAGTTATTAGTTTTAGTAAACAAATAATTTTCTTGGGTTGGACTGGGACCGAATGAAAAACTTTCACACACAGATATTAATAATTTATTGCAACTTAAGAAAAATGAAGGCTAACTAAATAATCATCAATTATTTAGTTAGCCTTCATTTTTCTCATTTTCCGCTCAGCGTCAGAATACTGTAACTCAAATATGAAAATCCACTAACGCCTGAAAATAACAAAAAACTGGACAACTGCATTGAGAATAGCATTTAAAACACTAGAAGCGTTGGTATTTTTGCACCTGCATTGACTCGTACAAGAATTGGTCGGATAGGGTCCAAACGGAATCTGGTCATGACATTCAATATGGATCGTCTTCTTCTTCGGCGAGCGAGAAGCCCACCTCAGTCGTGGCGGTTTTGCATCCCATCATCTGGACGGGACGGTCCTGGGAGTCAGTCCTCCCTCACTCTTCACGCACCGCCCTGGGCGCGGTTAAGTTAAACTTTATACCGGTTGTGAAGTTAGCAGCGAGCGCAACTACGCGTGGGTAGGGTTACCATATCTCAGGATTTGTCCTGAGATTTCAGGATTTTTGAACTCTTCTCAGGATTGCGGCCGGATTTTGCAAATCTCTTGAAATCTCAGGATTTTTTGAATTTTCAATAAAATACAGCTAACGTTTTAAAGATCTGTTTAATAAAAACTTACACAAACTAAAAATAATCTTCCTTTGATAATAATTGCATAGTTAAAATCAGTACTTATTTATCCAAGTAGGTACTTGTTCAGTTTTATCATACTTAAAATGTGATGATACATTTTTAAGTAAGGTTTTTTCTTTAATTATGGATTTATAAAATTCCCCACATGTTAAGCTCTTCAAATTATATTGAATAAAAAGTATAAGCAGCATGTATATAAACGATAATGTTTTTTTAAATTGTTGTACGTTTGAGGGAAAATTCTCAAACTGTAAAAATCTCAGGATTTTTCAATGGAAATCAAGCCTTTTCTCCGGACTTTTGATTTTTTCATCTGGTAACCCTACGCGTGGGTGCAGTCAGGTGGTTGCCTCAGCTTTGCTCCCTAAATTTCGTTTACCCGCGACTTGCATTAACTTCACAGCCGCCGTTAAGTTTACATCGTAATATACTCATATCATTTACCTGTTTCTCTTCGCAGGCAATCTCCTCCTGAACCTGTTCGGCTGCGGCGCGTGTATAAACATCAGCCAGGGTAACACGGCCGCCCCCGACATCGTACTCATCGCCTTCGCCTTCGGTCTCACCATATTCGCCGCTATCTCGGTAAGTCTACTACCTACCTACATTGTATTGTGCCATACAAAACATTTTACGCTCTGTCACGTCCTTAACTCAATATAGTCACATATTTGGTTCTATAGTATGCAACAAAATATACAAATAAGACATAGTTTTACAATTTTTGGAGTAAAAATTTCGTAATGGCTGGTCATTAGATTGGTGATCCAAAATTTATTCTCTTGAGATCCCCCATGAATCAGAAACACTTTAAGCCGTTGTATATGTAATGATCTCCCACCACCTTTACGGACTAACATTTCAATGTCAACATATAATTTTAAAAGTAAATGTAAATTGTCGTTATTAGATAAACAGTATACTGCGGCCAAAACTGTATTTAATTTAGATATTTAATAATGGATGTATTAATTTTTTAATCGATTTTCAAATTTTTACTTGTTGGTATCACAAAATGGAGCATTTAATAATTAAATAAGGTTGTGGCAGAATATCAGCGACTTCCGATAAAACGGCGCGGTCGAATGCTGAGTCACATTCCCTTTTGGTTTCCAAAAAGTTGGTATGTCAAATTTTAAGTTTTTGTATTTGTATATGTATTTTTTGGAGCAAATAAATACTTATTATTATTATTATCTCTATAGCGACTTGGCGACGCCCTTGAGCTGGATCATTATTACTTTAAGTTGAAGGAGAGTCAAAAGCATAGATTATTTTTCCCTCTTGAATTGGAGAGTCCGCCTAGGAAAGTTTCTTCACATTACAGAAGACTGCACAATTTAATTTAAAAGTGTACCAACACTATAATACGTTTACTTTGTTGATCGAGCTTCACTATATTTTTATACAAACCTATATTAAATGTTTATTTAAAATTTCTTTAGTAAATAGCTTTAGCTTGAAAACAAATATATAGCCGATATTAGATTGCAAAAATACCAACCGGTTTCAATGCTTCTTGTGTTTTTCAAGGAACTTTTCCAAAATCTTTCCATCATACGAACATTGACCGCACAAATGCAAATACAACAAAATAACAATCAGTCAAATTGGTCTAGCCGTTCTCAAGTGATGCACCGTCATATGTTCGTCTGGCAATTTATTTTTATATATAGTCAGACAGACCGATCAAACGTTCTGGAAGTAAATGTAAACAAAAACATTGTCTTTCAATAAGATGCCGCAGGTTTTGATACTCTACAAATTTTCATTACTAAACTGCCTAAGTTCAGGTTTGGCTTACTGTTTTTAATAAAAAGAAACCAAAAGATAAGTGCAATTAAAAAAAAATTGGACAGAAAAAGAACCCCTTCAATGCCAGAGTCGTAAAGTAGATATGATCATGATATTTTACTGATGAATAAATGAACATTGCTTATGCATTTATAATGCTGTGTCAGCCCATAAGGGATAAGAGATTATAGGATATGTGCCTATGTATACAAGGTTTTGTATAGGTAGGAATGTTTATGGTTTACAGTAGATACGTATATGAAATTACTTATATGTGAAACTGGTAGAGAACATGGATAAATAGCTCCATGTCCTGTTACTTCTCTATTGAAAATAAATAAATTGTGAATGGTATTCAGTGAAAATTCTCTCTAAATTTTGAAAAATATATATGTTATCATCTTATCTACTATATAAAAATAAGTCGGGTTTTCCTTCCTGACGCTATAACTCCAGAACGCACGAACCGATTTCCACGGTTTTGCATTCATTGGAAAGGTCTCGGGCCGAATTGCTCTTGTAAGGTCCGTGAGGTTTATAGCAAAGAAAATTCAGGAAAAATTAAAAAAATACTTCTTTTAATCACCAAACGAAATGTTACATAAAACGAAGCCATCTGGTGGCGAAACGGAGTTCGCCGGGTTTGCTAGTGATTTATGAAACCATGTTTTGAGATTAGATTTAATGGCGTTCTCAATTTAAACAGCTTTTGCTCTTCTAGTACTCTATAATGAAGATTTGTGCTTAACTAAGTCGTAATTTAAGAATTTATAACAGCTTAACGAGTAATATTTGCTGTATATTAGGATTAAATTACTATGGTAGCTGTTTAAAAGGATAAATTAAGCATATATTACAGCAACCTGCATTTCAATCATTTATTATTTTATTCGGTTATTTTTTGTTGTTTCCATGGTTTGATGTCCCACATTGACAAGTAAAGTAATAGAAATTGACAATAAACACAATATTATAATCCTATAGAACCAAATATGTGACTATATTGAGTTAAGGACGTGACAGAGCGTAAAATGTTTTGTGTGATATACCTATTAAACAAAAGCAGTAAAAGAATTAAGAAGCTAAATAATTCTCTATATACCGTCTACCAGCATTGCTGCATAAAATTATACAATTTTGCTCTTGTACAGCCTTAAATATATATTTATTCTCTTGTTCATCTAAACTTATATTACAAAGAGGAAAGATTTGATTGTTTGTTTGTTGGTATTGAATAGGATCCGGAATAGAGATTGCAACCCTGTATGTTTTTCAACCCGGCCGGGTCCGGTAACATTTGCCGCCAACGCGGCCGGGGCCCCCTGGCCGGGTTGACGGGTTGACTTACTTAACCATAATTGAGCAAAAATAGCAAAATCTTCAAAACAACTACTACACTACTAAAAATAGCAAAATCAAAACTACTGGCTGGGTTGCAATGTAACTGTAACTGTAAATAATCCAACTTTTATATGCAAACATGGTCTTAACTTACAAAATGTAATGTAAAATTGGTTATTTTATGTAGGCTTAATATAACAAATAGAATCCTACATCGTCCGTGATGAATATAGTATTTTCAAAAAAATTTGGGTTCCGTTAAGAAAACTTCGATAAAGTCACCCAATGTGTGAAAAAAATAACCTTATGTCGCATACGCTGCGATAGTCACTGACAATAGAGCAAAGTGATGTACTAAAGTTTTGTAGAAGACATCAAAATCTTAAAAAAGGTCTGCGATACCATATGCCTAACTATTACAGTTATGTCACAACTAGAGGTCCCCTGCAATTTCACCCGCGATTGTTTGAGAAAAATGGTTAAAGTGAGTCAAACTTACGATGGGGAACGATGGGCATATGCTTTCACGGTTGTTTTATAGCAATTTTAAAGGGGAATAATTTCTTCATACACGATTTTTGTGTAACTTTAACTGTTTACGCAGCGCACGCTATGGAAGCTCACAAATGGAATATTTTTACCCGTTTTGCAACATTTTTCATTGATGCTCCGCTCCTACTTGTCGTAGCATGATGTTTTGTAACCTATGGTCTCCTAAATACACTATTTAACGCATAAATAATTTTCAAATCTGACTTCTTAGTATTTTCCGAGATAAGCGCAGTCAACCAAAAAAAACAAACAAACAAACTCTCCAGCTTTACGATATTAGTAAGTTTATCTAATTTTCACGGCAGGTTTATAATTATAGAAAGAAAGTCATTGTGTATAATAGAACCCCGAGAACAATAACTATAGTCACCACTAGGGCCACTAGTAAGTTCTTTATAAAGCTTCTAGCTGTTAATACACTAGACAAGATATTTTTTCAGCCTAAATGTTTATTGGGTACGGAACCTAGATACATAAATAAGTTCACAGAGATTATCAATTTTAGATATTAATAAATATAGCATCTGAGATGATACATGGACACAGAAATTGATTCCTTTCTGTGACCATGGATATACAATTAAATACTAAGTAAGTACAGCCTTCGTTTATTTAAGCACGACATCTACCTTCATAGTTACGCGGTGCTTTCGCGATGTAATTGATTTAAGCCCGCATAATATCACTATTCGAATAAAACACAGATGACATAAATACATAATAATGAAGCTGATTTTTATTACAATATAATTAGTTCTACTATGACTCAGCTTTAAAATTATACCTCTACTAATTTATCACGTGTTTACTCATGCTGTCTTTGAAAGAATACGAAACGTAAAAGAATATTCTCGAAACTAAACTACTTCATCACAAAAAGTAGAACTACACAAAGAAAAAACTATGTCTAATACATTATTATCCATGGACCGAAACAACTTCGTCCTTCACATCACACCGTGATAAATGACACTGTAAAGAAACTAAAAAGGTTTTAAGATCCGTATCACACAATAACCGATTACGTTCATCTAACTAGTATGTGGTGGATTAAGAAATTGTTTATCAACACAAACACACTCAAGAGCGATTAAAACAATAAATACATAAATAAAATAAATCTAAAATGTTTAACATTAAATAGCCGTGATTTTGACACAATGACTCAACGTTTTGTTTAATAGATTAGATACAACTTCATAAAAAGACTCAAAGCAAAGGTTGAATGGTTGAATATACGATCTCGGTTGGCCGCAGGGCTGTGGGCATCTAAATAACTTAATGAAGATTGAAGGAAAGAGGTGTATAAATAATATAATCATAGGACGGACTCTACAATTCAATTGCATTTTCCGATGTGCACTACCCCTGTTATTTCCTTCATTTTTCTATCTTCTGTTTCACTGTATTCTGACGCGCAATAGTTACAGCGTTCAGTCTGCAATCGTCGAAGTTAACTTTCGCAATGACCCGCTATATAATGGATAATCAAAAATAAAATATAAATACTATCTCGGTAGGCCTGTGAATCTGCAGTCGTTAGCGCCTACTAATCCGCCCTGAACGCACGTTGTGGACGTGGAGTAGTAATCCATTCTTAAGGAAAGCGTCTGTCCCGGCATTAGAGACATCAGTAGGCTAATGCCAATAAAAACCAGCCTGTGTACCTATTTGTTTATTGTATAGCTACATTTAGAAAAATGTCTGAGTTGTCAACAGGCGATAGGTCATGTATCTGGTGGACACATCAACCCGGCCGTGACGATAGGCTTGGCAGCGGCCGGGCGCGTGAAGGTAGTGCGCGCCGTGTTGTACATCATAGCACAGTGCGCAGGCGCCGCAGCCGGCTCCGGCCTGCTGAAGGCATTCACACCGGACCGCGTGGCTGGCTCCCTGTGCGCCACCAGTCTCGGCACTGACGTCACAGCGCTTCAAGGATTCGGCATCGAGTTCTTCCTCGGATTCGTCCTCGTATTCGTCGTCTGTGGGGTGAGTAAACCGAGCCGTAAATAGGAAAGAAACTACTAAAGACAGTTCTTCCTGTAGCTGCCAGGTCTAACGTGTAGAGAGAAACGCCAAAATGGTGCCTAGAACTTGAGAGCCAGTCGGCCAGTCGTAAGTTTAATAGGCCTCTTAAAAGACTCATCTGTAAAGCAAGTCCAAATCACGCCGCCTGGTCGCTCGTTGTGGTTGCATTTGGTTCTCATAGATAGCATAAGAATTTTTGAGCCCCAAATTCAAAAGTTTTGTGTATTCATGAAGCCATTCAGATGGGAATGTGCTACATCCGAAGAAGATGTGTTTTTTTCGAAAAATTTGAGCGGTCTCAGCATAATTTTCCAAGTTACTGTAATAAGTTTTAACAACTTTAACGCGTTGCTCTGTCGTACTGCGCTCTATTTTTAATAATCAGCATTAATGGTCCATGTCCAATTGGATTAAACATAGGTTTAAACTGTCAAATTTTAGAGTAACCATTTTCACAAAAAAAATGCACTCTTAGTAAGACATCCTTTAGAACGCGGTAAACCTTTTACAAGTAGAACTAGCAAAGAGGAAGCGTAATGATGCTCCCTGGCGTTGTATTCTTAGACTCCTGTTTACTTTATACAAGTCATAATTATGCAAAATACATATAAAATAAAAGTTATGAGACCAACATCTTTCAATGAATTTGACTAGGTACAAGGTTTTTACAAATTTTGCCTTGTTTTCCTCTAAACAATATAGATTATTCTTTCTGTGGATTATTATTTATACTACACTTATTTCAAGATCAATATAATGAGATATTTTATTTACCAAAGGGGCTGCATTTTGCAGTGCGTGGTATTCGCGTGTCATACTTAAAGTCCATAATTAACCTTACCAACATTACATCATTCGAGTTGTGTGACAGCGAAAAACAGGGTTACGTGATTTCATATTATTAGCGTGGAGCCTTGCAAATTTGCACTTTACTGCATTATCTTTACTATTGAAAATGATGACTCGGATAATTGTGACTGTCATATTGCGTGATGCTTTTAATTACTAACAGTTTTTGCGTGTCACAGGAAAATCGGATAGAAACATCAAAATTTTGAGCAAAACATTTACAGCTAATTTGCATTACTTACAGTTTGAATAATATTCGAAAGTTTTCCTATTGACATTCCTTATACGATCGGGGATGTCCTGAAACCTGGATCTTCAAATACAAACATTCAGTAGAAACAAACCCGCAACATTTACTCGAAAAACAATCAAAATTGTACATTGTGTCATTAAGGCATTATTTTTTATATCAGTAGGGACTTAGGAGGAAGTTTGTACCAACTTGGAAATCCTCAGTTTAGATCATGTGACACTTTAAGATAATTACGACGTCGGAAGAAATAAATGGCATGAATTAAAGAAGTAAGTAGCCGTGTAAGTTTGTCTACAAAATGCTAAGCTTAATCTTAAAAACAATGCTTTCTATAATCTCTATCCACAACTAGTCTAAATAAACACGTCTTTGAAACACAAAAACATCTTTGTTTATGTATGCAACTGGGTTATGATTTTTTAGTAACGAATTATAGTTGTAGTATGTATTATTACAGCTAATTGATAGTTTTCACTTAAAACTTTCTACATATGAACTTATAAAAGCATTAATGACAGTAACATGTGACATGATCTGTAAATAATAGATTAGGCACAGTGTTGATTTTCATTCAGGTGTGATTTTATCAAACCTTAATTGTTAAATAATAGTTTCCTAATTAGCTTTGGCATACTTCTGTTGTACTAACTTATCGTAAAGGACAATGTTAAAATTGGCCTAAGAACCAACACCAATTTGGCATTTATGATAATTCTTGGTTTATTTTTTGCGATAATTATCAATATTTAGATTGTGACGGACACTTCCAGTCTACTAAGCTAAATTAAAAAGTTAAAAATAAATCTGAGACAATAAATACCATTTTATATGTACAATCTATGACAGCGCTGCAAACAAAACACTCTTTCTTCCTAATGCCGGCACTTCACTTAGCTATTCGTATTTGCTATTTTAAAACATGACATCAGTCTGTCCTTTTCATTCCTTATTAAGCATGACAAGGACAAACTGTTGTCAAGTGAAGGGCCGTAAGGATAAAACTCGATACTCTGTGGTTGTGGTGCAGGCAGTTTGCATTCGTAGTAATCTGTAGTTCCAAAGAGTAGTTTAATATACCGCAAAGTGCATTCTCGTTTCGGATTACCTATTGTGTGTGTTTATTTGCGATTGTTTTTCCTTTAATTTAACTATTTCGGCTATCTAATATGCCATCGATATTACCGAAGAGCAGAGACCTTATTACCAAGTGCTAGTGAACCTGTGCCACAATATCCTGAGAGGATCATATTGCCAAATTATTCAAGAGCACCTGATACACATTCACTCTGCATATTTACACAATATGCATGTGATATACAAATAAATATATGATACAATTATGTGAAAAATAGTCAATAAATAAGAAGCAAAACTACAGTTTTTATATTATTCATGATTCCTACCTAACCAAGTTTTTCCTAATAGTTATTCTTTAAAATCGCACCGAATAAAATGAATTAGTTGTATTATTATAATATAATATTAATATAATTCACTTCATACTGAGTTCATACTAAGTTCATAGGTTGACCTATGTTTCATTGAATATTAAACATAACCTCAAAAAAATTTTAGTATTCCTAATAATTTAAGTTTTCAGAAGTGTCCGTCAATAATCTTTGTTTTTACAGTCATTTACTTGCGATTTCGAACCTAGAAAATAATATTTCATGATTGTTGGTTCTTAGGCTAACTATGTATGGACACAGAACATTGTCCTTTATAAGCTTGATCAACATTATGGTTTGATCAGGATTTCAATCTTTGGGTTTGACAAAATCTCACCTCATTGAAATCAACACATAACTTAATCTACACATAATATGTATATCCATTGACAATTAATAATGATTATCATATCAAATGTAGATATTATTTAAAATGTTGGAGTGCAGTAAATACGCTTCTTAAAATAACTTTATGACCTGATTAACAAATTCAATTACCTACTTATTAATAAATAAATGCGTCATTATCCGCATTAGGTGATATAGATATAGTGAAAGTGAACTATCAGGTTGCGAGTTAGCTACCTCTGTGAAGTTAGCCCCCACTTTTTGAATTTTATTATTATCTAAGTTGTTCTGGGTTGTTCTATGTTTGTTCTACATTGTTCCAAAGTATTATTTGAAAAAACTAAAATTTGAAGCTGCCAGACAAGAAAAACCGTTTTTCTATGGTAGCCCCCCATGTTTGGAAATTCAATATTTTTTTAGTTGTTCCAAGTTGTTCTAGTTGTTCCGAACATTGTTCCAAAGTATTATTTGAAAATATTCAAATTTGAAGCTGCCAGACAAAAAAAACGTTTTTATGGTAGCCCCCCATGTTTGGAAATTCAATATTTTTTTAGTTGTTCCAAGTTGTTCTAGCTGTTCCGAACATTGTTCCAAAGTATTATTTGAAAATATTCAAATTTGAAGCTGCCAGACAAAAAAAACGTTTTTATGGTAGCCCCCCATGTTTGGAAATTCAATATTTTTTTACTTGTTCCAAGTTGTTCTAGTTGTTCCGAACATTGTTCCAAAGTATTATTTGAAAATATTCAAATTTGAAGCTGCCAGACAAAAAAAACGTTTTTATGGTAGCCCCCCATGTTTTGAAATTAAATACTTTTTTAGTTGTTCCAAGTTGTTCTAGTTGTTCCTAACATTGTTCCAAAGTATTATTTGAAAAAACTCAAATTTGAAGCTGTCAGGCAAAAAAAACCGTTTTTGAGATAGCCCCCCATGTTTGGAAATTCGTTATTTTTAAAGTTGTTCCAAGTTGTTCTAGTTGTTCCTAACATTTTTCCAAAGTATTATTTGAAAAAACTCAAATTTGAAGCTGTCAGACAAAAAAATCCGTTTTTCTTAGCCCGCCAAACCAAATCGTACTAGAGACAATAAATAAATCAACAATAATTTTAAACAATGACGATCGTATCAGTACAACCGTGGGCTATATCGTTCCAATTTCATTTAATCATTTTGAATAAAATTAATAGTTATAAGACAAGAAAACATTACACTATAGGGTAAACTCCCTAATTGTTGGCACTTTAAGAGTAGGTTCCATGTCAGTTAGACATTAAATTACCATAATCACATCTAAATGAGTTAGTACACAACACATGTAACAGTATCAAGGAAATATAGTTCAATATTTGTTTTCATAATAGTACAGTCAATGAAGGCAAAAATCAGCTAAAACCTCCGATTTCGATGAACCTCCATCGATTTTCATGAAAAATGGTGATGAGGTGGGGGATACCATATGAAACAAAAGTGACATAGTGCCAACTTGCGCTTTTTCCCTAGGGGTAGATACCACCTCTTCTCGGGGGTAAAAATTATTTTAATAAAAATAACTCCAGGAATCGATAGAAAGACAAATTCTAAGCAAAAGTTGTTATATTAAGTTTTCGAAATAAATCAATACTTTCTGAGTTAATAATGATCAAAGATTGTGATTTTGCGTCAAAAATTCATGATTTAAGCGGTTTTTCATAAATATCTCATAAACTATGAGTTTAAAGAAAAATATATTATTATTATAAGAATATTCGGTTACTATTCGGTATTCGGCCTATTCGGCTGCTTTTATTATATTCGGCCGAATACCGAATACCTACATATTATTCAGCCGAATACCGAATACTTAAATAATATATTTTGTCATAGAGAAATAATTGGTAAAATGAAAATTAATATCGATTGATTACGTAGGTATATATTCATATTTTCATTTCTGTTATATATAATCATTAAAGTAGTCATTGGTACATAATCATCTTCTGAATTGGAAAAATGGAGGATTCTATGTATTTGAATTATTGTGGTAATCAAAATTTAAAAGGGTAAGGTTCTCATTTATTTTATAA